AGATCTTGGATTGCACCTATAAAAAGTGAGCTCATGCTTAGAAAGGCTGGAGACCCCTGGTCTAGGGGTTGGAGCAGCGGCCGGGGAGTCCGATTCCATAGGTGGAGGATGCTTGGGACAGCTGGGTTCCATTCCTGGCTGTGGGGCGACAGTGGGATTCAGTGGTTAGAGCAGTGGACCAGTGCAAGACCGGGCGCTAGGAATCCTGGCTTCTCTTCCCAGCTCTTGCGGCCTAAACATGGACAACCGGCGTCCCTGCTCCGTGCCTCAGTTTCCCCAGCTGTGAAATGTGAGCTGCCCCAGGTTGCCGTGTGAGACGTTACACTTATAAGTGCTTGGAGAGCCTGAGCTCTCCGGTGCTTTAGAAGGGCAGCCTTTGCAGCCCTCTCCTGCGGCAGCAATTGCAGTATTCTCCGGACCCAGGGCTTTTTTGACTTCGATTTGGTACACAAGTAAGACACTGCGAGAGCCAACAAAAGCCCCTCCCTCCCCATGCTCCACCGGGGGCGCGTGGGGGGATCCATGCCACAGCTGTAGGCAAGGATGCTAGAGCAGAGAATGCCTGGCTCACAATACATATTATTGGAGCGCGCAGCTCATACCTAACAATTAGTGAGGAGCAGCCTTCGGTGGCCTCCTGGGTCAGCTACTGGACAGGGAGTCTGAGGAGCTGGGGTCTAGTGCCAGCACTGCCACTGACCTGCTGTATGGGGTCAAGTATGGCCCAGCCACTCTGTGCCTCAGTTTCCCCATCGATGCCTGATGGGTAATGAGCTAGTCTTGGTCCTGGCTGGAGGGCGGAATGTCATATGTGCCCAATAGGCTTTGGAAATCTGGGACGGTCCCAACTGGAAAGTCCTCCAGGAGAGCCACTGGCCGCTCCATCCCAAGAGGGTGTGGTGAGATGTTGCGAGCTGCAATGAAAACAGACCAGGCTGGTAGGGGGCAGGTCAATCACCCCCATCGACAGGCAGGCTCTCAAAAACTAAGCCTGAGCAGCCACCCAGCTGCACTAAGGGCTGCTGGTCTCAGCCCGGGGGGAGCAGCTGAGGTTCGGGTGAGCCTCGCTGTGTGACTTTGGGGCCCGGCCAACCTCCCCTGGTTTGCAATGGGCTTCAGAGCAGGGGCCTGATCTGGGCAAAGGCACAGACTGATCCTGGTGGAGAATGATGGAGAAAGTCCAGGCTCCCGGAGGCCCCCCCCACAGCCACGCCATGGACCAGCCCGCACCAGGGTAGCAGATGGGGGTGGGAGGGCTGGGCCAGCTGGGCTGGAGCAGGATCCACAAACCTGTGACCTCCAGGTTGGGTGTGCGTATCCTGCTCTCCTTGCTGTGGGTTTCCTTCGACATGCCTGCCCCAGGGAAATGCTAGGAACAATGCAGGCCCTTGGGAATCAGCATGGGTTGTTCTTGGTCTGTTTCTATGCTGGTACAGTATATTGTGGGTGAGAGTGGGCGGGAAGGAGCAAAGGCAGGACTCCTGGGTTCACTGTGACCTCCAGGTTGGGTGTGCGTATCCTGCTCTCCTTGCTGTGGGTTTCCTTCGACATGCCTGCCCCAGGGAAATGCTAGGAACAATGCAGGCCCTTGGGAATCAGCATGGGTTGTTCTTGGTCTGTTTCTATGCTGGTACAGTATATTGTGGGTGAGAGTGGGCGGGAAGGAGCAAAGGCAGGACTCCTGGGTTCAATTCCCAGCCCTGGAAGAGGGCAGGGCCTGGGACTCAGGCATCCTGCTCTCTAGCCCTGGTTTTGAATGACATACAATGTAACTTGGAAGCCAGTCCCTATGCTGCTCTGTGCCTCAGTTTCCCCTCTCATGTGGGCAGGGTTAATGCCTTGGATGAGCCTGGAGCTCCTGAAAGAGGGCCCAGAAGGGTTGTCATGATGACACATTCTGTCTCCAAACACCTGACCCCCTGTTCAAGGCTGGTAGATTTGGGCTCGGTGTAGAGAGAGAATCCAGCTGGAGAGTCCCACGCTGGGGGACGAGCGCTGTTTGCAGACCTGTCCGGTGAGGCACACTGGCCTCCATCCCTGGCGCAGGAAGCATATCAGAGGGGAAGCCGGAGGGCTCGGGGGTGCGGCTACTCTCCACTTTGCATCCCCTCCCAGAGAAGCAGTGTATGGCAGTGCAGCCCTGAGGCTGTTCTAACTGAGAGCAGGAATTGGGCAGGGTACAGCTCCAGGATGCAGGGACCATAAAGCTCACCGCTCCGGTAGTGCCGCTCCTGGCCTTTCACCCCTGTCCCTGGTGCAGGAACAGAGCAACTGAGAATCATGGTCTGAGGACTCCCATGATGCCTGCAGTGCGCTGGCACACCGTCAATTTCCCCCATTCGATAATTCCCCTCCCCACCCAAGTACACAAGTCACGGAATTCTCCCTTCATGGCTACATCTGGAATGCAAGTAGGAACCTCCAAACCTCGGCCATGCCGGTGTTAAATGCAGGGGCCACAGTCTCCCCAGGGCACCCCGGCCAGGCTCCAACTTCTCCAAGGAAATAGTGAAAAAAATGCAGTTGAGAAAAACGGCTTGGGTGGGAGACATGTGTGTTTCACACGCCGCACCGAGGCGAGGAGCAGCGTGAGGGACCAAGCCCATGGCTTTCGGCTCAAGAGCTGGGCTACAAGTAGGAGACAGGAGCTGCGTACAGTACGGACTTCTAGAGGTGCGGGGCTATTGAAATACAAACCATCCCTCTGTTCTCAGTAGCGGCGGATGGCAGAACAAGGAGCAATGGTCTCAAGTTGTGGTGGGAGAGGTCCAGGTTGGATATTAGGAAAAACGATTTCCCTAGGAGGGTGGGGAAGCCCTGGGATGGGTTCCCTAGGGAAGTGGTGGAACCTCCATCCCTAGAGGTGTTTAAATCTCTGCTTGGCAAAGCCCTGGCTGGGTTGATTGAATTGGGATTGGTCCTGCCTTGGGCAGAGGGCTGGACTTGATGACCTCCTGAGGTCTCTTCTGGCTCTCTGGTTCTAGGATTCTCTGATCCATAATAATAAAGGTTCCTTCTCCTTCTTCAGGGCACACATTTCTAATGCAAAACACCTGGCTAGTCGTGGGCGACTGGGATCAAACCTTTGCTTCTAATAGCATGAGCCCCAGTGCCGGAGCTAAAACAGACCCCCTTAGCTGACTCATCAACCTTGGTGTGAGGCCAATGCCAGTTCTCGAGGGAGCCCACATGCCAGCGTGGCTTCCCGCCTCGCTTGCCACAGAAACGGCATCTGTGCCCCCAAATTCCCTTGTCCCTGGATGCCGGAGCAGCTCCTGTTGATGGTACCAAGGTGCGGAAACCAGTTTAGAATGAGCCAACGGCCCATAAACGTGCCCAGCGTGGCTTCTGCCAGGCGGACAGCCTGGAGAGCTGCCACTGAATTGTGAGGAGGGAGGTTTTTCTCTCCGTGGCTAGGCAGGGATAGCTGACTCACAGCTCATGTGCAGCCCTGCAGAGAACACAGGCTCAGGCCTGTGAGGTGGGACAGCTACTAGGTAGCAGGGACATCGGCTCTGTAGCTCCTAGGAGCCAATACCTTGGGGAAGGATACCTAGCAAACCCAGGGGAAAGGAATGAAAGTTCAATTCCTGCATCTTTGAGTCATCCCTGGCTCCATGGTCTGTGAGGCCAGGTCTGGAGTTACAGGAAAGCCACCCGGCAAAGTTGGGAGGGGGGAATACGTTATTCCCTGGTCGTTGTGTGTCTTGGGGAGTGGTGTCTAGTGGTTAGTGCAGGGGTGCGTGTCAGGATTCCTAGACGCTGCATGGTCTTTGTCTATGAGTGATCACAAGGCAAATCATGTCCCCGATTTGTGCCTCAGTATCCCCATTTGGGTGTTGTTACTGCAGCTTGCAAGCCCTCCTGGGGCGCTCACAGTGTTCTATGTTCTCAGATGCTATCAGAAAGCAGCCAGAGCCACACACAGTCTATAACAAGGCCTGGCCCATTCCTCAATAGCCGTGGTGTCCAACACGCTGGCCACTAGCATGTGGCGATTTGGCCAGTTGAGTGTGGCTCACAGAATTATTTACGTTTTCAGAATAATGTGGCGAGTTCACTATAGCAGTAGCCACCATAGAAGTGTTTCTTAAACTGTGTTTCGTGGCACACCAATGTGCTGTGAGGCAGTCGGAGGTGTGCCAAAGAGAACAACAGAATTCAAAATGGCCGCCCTTAAAAGGGCAAGTAACTTTTTTTTTTTTTGGTCAATAACTTTTCCTCCTGACTTTTTTTTTGCACTCAACAAAAAATCCTTGGTGTTCCCCATTTAAAAAAAAATTGTTTGGTGTTCCTCAGTCCTAAAAAGTTTAAGAAACACTGCACTATAGGCAGCTGCTGCTTCAGAACTGGTTGGACACCACGGCTGAACAGTGACCGAATGTGGTTACTGAGGCCCCAACTGCGCCTGCCTGAGTTGTAGCACAAAGAGCAAAGGATACAACGCCGCCCCGCTCTGTGCCTCGGTTTCCCCCTCTGTAGCAAGAGGCTCATGCTATTTACCTGAGTCACAGTCTTGCGACGAGGGGTCTTTGAGCTCTTTGATTTGCTGTTGCTATGGTGGTGTGGGGTGGGATTTCTTCCTCTCCCTCATCTGGATGAAGTGGGAGAGGAGGCTTTCAACCCCAGTGGAGCCAATAGATTGCATTTAGCAGCACACAGCGCACCATCTCCCGTGGCTTGAACAAAGGCCTGAACTGGGTAGCCCATTATGAAACCTGCTTTCCCCTCATTCAACGCCCCGTTGACATCCAACGCTACGTATGGGACACTCTCAACCCACTCAGCCAGCCTCTTTAGCACCGGCACTACCATTGAGAGGGATTTTTTCCTTCTCCCTCTCCTTTCTTTTTCTGTTCTAAATTGTGAGGGTCCCCCGCTGCTTCCCCCCCCCCCCCACTCTACTCATCTGACTGCTCATCTGAGGAAGTGGAAAGCCCACGAGACTATCTGTCTGTAAGGTGCCACAGGACCACGCGTTGGTTTTTCCTCACGTTAATAATTCATTGCAGACAGAGAGAGGGGGAGGGGAAAGATGAACATTTGGTCTCTCCCCTGGCCATTAAGGATCCGGGTGATTTCAGGGAGAAAGATGACTCCAGGCCTGGCAAAGACGTTTTCCCTTTTCCCCCTTCCCCGTCCATCACCATCATTTTGTAGCAGAGCTACTAATGCCCCTGATACATTGCCCCGCTGTGATGAGCTAATTCGTGTCTCCCGTGTCTCATGGGCTGTTCTGCTCCAGGGAAGGGAGCCACGATCTTACGACAGGTCCTTCCGTCTCTGCCTCACTGCTGGAGGGTGCATCCTCTCTCCACGGCCGGGGGATGGTCAGACTGCCCAGCCAACACACCTCAAACCTGACTGCTTGCTGGGTAAACCCCACAGCACTTCCACTCTAGGGTTATCGAGGAACAGACCCTGTCCCTGGGGGACATCCCCTCGTTTCCCAGACGGCCCTGACTCTCCAACGTGGGTTAGAACCAGTGACCTGAAAGTGAAAGGCTTCCCAGACTGGTCCCAGCGCCTTGTGCCTTCACAGCCATAGAGCTTCTGCCTTAGCGCCAAACCTGCCCACACAACCTGGCCAGGTCCGGGTGAGCTGTTGGCTGAAAAGATCGATTGTAGCCACCCCCGCTTCATGCTGACCACAGGACTCCACGGCCACGAGCACGGCTACCCAGGGGGAGCGCGGCACAAGCCTCGGCAGCTCACAAAGAGGCACCGATTAGGTAAGTTCTCTGCATTTGTTTTTCTTTCCTGTGTTTACAAAGCGCTGGCCAGAGGGAATGGCCCCTTCCTCACATGAGTTTCATGGCAAACTTGCTGCCGCCGCCACGTGGCTTGTTCCAGGACGCATGGGAATAGTGAGGGACGAATTCAAAGGTGGCGTGATGCTTGACCTTCCCTTTGCTCTTGCTCCAGAAGAAGATGAAGACGAAGCAGACGGAGACGGAGCTGAGGAACGGCAGGAAGCCCATGGCCAAGACCCCCACCAGCGTGCCCACGTCGATGAGGGGCGGCGGGAAGGTCTCGGAGCGGTTGAAGTTGCTACCGTTGAGGAACAGGAAGGAGTCGTTGCCGAAGTGGGCGGAGGGGTTGTCCACTCGAAGATGCACCACCAACGTGTCGTTCCCTGCGGCGTTGCTGGCAACACACTGGTAGGCGCCGCTGTCCTGAGCGAGGGTGTAGTCGATCTCCAAGGTCCCATCTGCCAGGACCCTCACGTGCCCCTTGTGGTTGGAATCCAGGCGGATGTTATGAGGCGAGACCCAGTAGATGGTTGGATGGGGATCCCGTTGTCCACTCGAAGATGCACCACCAACGTGTCGTTCCCTGCGGCGTTGCTGGCAACACACTGGTAGGCGCCGCTGTCCTGAGCGAGGGTGTAGTCGATCTCCAAGGTCCCATCTGCCAGGACCCTCACGTGCCCCTTGTGGTTGGAATCCAGGCGGATGTTATGAGGCGAGACCCAGTAGATGGTTGGATGGGGATCCCCTTCGCCCCTGCAGGTCAGGGTTGCTTTGCCCCCTTCTTGTACACTCACCCACTGCGGGGTCTTGTCTGGGATATTAGACTTCCTGCAGGTGAAGTGACTGGGCAGGAGGACATCAGAGAAGTCCTTGAAGACTTTCCCTTTGACCGTCGTCGGGCTTGCGCAAGCCGGCTGCTGCCCACCGAAGCTGAGCCTCCGGCGCCTTCGGATAATCCACAGGAGCCGGCAGTCGCAGGCCAAGGGGTTCCTATCCAGCCGCAGGATCTCCAGGTTCCCCACGGAGTGGAAGACCCCTTCTTCCAAGGTCCTCAGGGCGTTCCCGGAGACATTGAGCAGCCGGAAGTAGTTGAGTCCTTGGAAGGCACTGGTGGCGATGGTGGTCAGCCTGCCCCCGGAGAGGTGGAATTCCTGAAGGCGCAACAAGTCACTCAGCCTCTTCCCATGGATCACCGAGATGGGGTTGTAGGAGAGGTCCAGGAACCGGAGATAGGCCAAGTGCCGGAAGGCCTCGTACGGGATGGTGCTGAGGTTGCACTTGGTGATGGCCAAGGAGGTCAGGTTGAGTCCGGAGAGGCTGTGGGGCTCCAGCGTCGCCAGGAAAGGCCAGCGGTCGATCTCCAGCACGTTCAGCCGGCGTTCCCATGGATCACCGAGATGGGGTTGTAGGAGAGGTCCAGGAACCGGAGATAGGCCAAGTGCCGGAAGGCCTCGTACGGGATGGTGCTGAGGTTGCACTTGGTGATGGCCAAGGAGGTCAGGTTGAGTCCGGAGAGGCTGTGGGGCTCCAGCGTCGCCAGGAAAGGCCAGCGGTCGATCTCCAGCACGTTCAGCCGGCGCAGCCTCTGGAAGGCGGAGTTGTGGGGGGCGCGGGTGCTCAGGA